GACTGTCGTTAACATTTACATTATTATATAAAATCATTAGTCATATAGAAAGTATTACTCTTACTATTTTATTTTTACTAATAACAATTTTATAAATATAAACAGTTATTTTCTTACTTTTGGAGAGAAAAAAAACATTGTAGTAAAAATCTACAACGGTACGAGGATTGTCCGTTAGTTAAACATAAGAGTACAGAAAATAGCATAGTTGTGCTTTACAAATGCGTAGAACGAAGAAAATGAGAGTTCAGACTAAAGTATTGGTATTTTGAAAGTATATTTAAAAAAAATAAAATACAAAAAAGATGCAACATATTTAGATAACAAATAAAAAAGAAGAAATGTTCAACTTTTATTCATATACTTATATCTATTTTTATTTTTGAACATTTCCACCATGGAACCCAATTTATGCAGGTACAGGTATTGGTCATAATCTCTATGTTGGATTTGCTGTATGCGGGTATTACCAGAAACATCACCAAATATAACGATAGCACCATCATACCATTGACCACGTACATTGTCCATATTCAACCCAAATTCTTGCACAGTATTAACTATTGCTATTGACTCTGCGTCGACTCTTTCAATCTCGATTAAAACTATAAAATTTTCAATCACAGTAGCATTTTTATCGACATTCTAATGTAAAGCTCCATCTGCTCTTTTGTTCCTACATCCGTATATTCATCAGTCATGAAGGGAAACCGTTTTGCCTTTTGTACCTTTTCAATAATTGTATCCAGATAAGTTTGGATTATCAGTTCTTTTTTAATGGGTGTACTTGTATATTGTGCATTATAGGGCGCATTATCCAAGTGAAGTTTCGGAATTGGTACATCATCGACTTTCTATCGTAAGAAACGAGAAAAAATACCATCTTCTATCTTTTTTCCTTATTCCAATTGTGTTCCCGAAAAGGAATATTCTGTCGATCTAAAACTACAATAGCGTGTAGTATTCGTAATGTTATCTATCTATTTCATTTGACCATCTCTTCACAACGTTTTGAGATAGAAACATATATATCTTTTTCTTCTTTAGAAACTATTTATTTATAGTTTGTAGTTTTATTTGTTGCTTCTTGGTGGGGTTTTGACTCGTTGTAGAATAGTAATATTCCTCTTTTGGATCCAGTGGCATTTTCATATCATTAAACACTTTGTGCGTGATTCATCCCTGTCTTTGTATTTACAAAACACTCAAAAAAATTATGCAAAACGCTGCATCTTTTTGGATTGAATATCTCAACCACGGAAAATTTCTTCCCATATAGAGGAGTATCCATGTCCATATATATCTTGCAGGAAATACAGCATTTGAAGATACCATTCTAATATCGAACAGCAGTTATGTCCTGTTACTATCTGTCGTTTAAAGATTTCACAGGAAAGTAGTAAGGATCATTGTTAGTTGGATCAGGCTATTTTGGAACAGAATGTGTAACAATAAATTGATTTTCTTATTACAGATTTATGTACCAATGTACAAAAAACCTAACTTTTACACATATGATTTTATAGTAACGTTAGGTTAGACCATTACCCCAATTTCGATGGTAGACCAACGGACCTTCGGGATGATTTAGACTAAGTTTGGTTTAAAATGATCTAGTGGTTTCAGAGAATGTCATTTGAAATTACATATTGAACGTCTGACCGACGTACAGACTAATTCCAATTCACAGCCAAACCCTTAAATCTTGAAACGACTGACGATTGGATTAGGATTAAATGGTATACGCTATGAAATGATATAGATTGAATGATATACACAAAACAACCATATAAGTAAAAAGAGATATCGGATGGTGTATACGTCAATGCTTTATATCTATGATTTTTCAAAGCACTTGTCACCAGAGTGTATCAGAATTAAAATTATAAAAATCAACAACAAAAATGTAGAGATACGGTAAACATGCATAAGACCTATTCCATATTCCCGAATCCAATGCAAAAACCATGTTTACATGCTGTAGTCGTCCCGTAAAAATGAAAAAAATTAAGAAGAAAAAAGAAATAAAAAAAAAATTACCACGGAATAAGTATTTAAGATAAAAGAAATTACTTGTAAGAATAGAAATTACAGGTAATGACATCCATAACACTGTTATTTAATTCATTTTCATTGTGTGAGAATGGCAAAAATTCATACAGTAACCTTGAAAATCTCCTGACGTCAACAACAAATAATGATACTTAATCCATGACGTGCGTTATCCTGCTCAACCTTCAACACTTTACAAAGTATTTACAAGAAAATGTTATTTGCTGTCAATTTTGAAATACGTAGAAAAGAAAAGAAGGTACGAGAAAGGGATTGACAGGAAAAAGTTATTTGCTGTCAATTTTGAAATACGAAGAAAAAGAAAGAAAGTAGGAGAAAGACGTCTCAAAACGTACGTCATGTTGGTTCTTGAATGAAGTAGGGGCACTTCATAAATATAATTAATGGTACATACTCAGATTTTACCTAATTTACCAAAATATGGTGTTCGTATAATCAAAAACATAATCGTTTTGAATTATCTATTAAAAAAAATTACAAATCTTATATAGCGCAATCTTGAAAATTACGTTCGGTGAAATTTATTCATTGTTTGTAGCAAACGCTTAAAATATTTTTGATATTACTTCTATATTTCTTTTGAAAGTTTAGATAGGAGTATCCATATAACGGGAATATACCATTATCAAGCCTTTAAAAGAAATTAATAATACTCTTACAAAATGTTTAATATTAGATATGATTTTAAAATTGTTGGTTGCTCATGTTTTAACATATGTCATTAGACATATTTTTGATAGACTTGATCCATAATGTACGTATTCCTGTTCAAAAGTTTAAGTGAGTTAAATTATTGGAAATACCTGGCCAACACAGGACAAAAGCTGATGTAGGAAAATAATACAATTTATGTCGTCATTAATAAGTAGTCTATATAATTGTCTGTTCATATGTTATTACTACCTTATGGACAATGTATGTTAACTATTACATTTTTGGTTGGGTTGGTCGAAGTCCAAAACCGGCTTATAGTATGGTGATGTTAGGCGGGTAGGCGGTCTGAGAAAAATAGGTACCTAATTTGTCTAATCAACTTCTATGGTTTCAACCCAGCTCCATGAAACTTCACATGTAGATTGTACATGTGTTGAAGTTGCACCTGGTATTATTTAATTGTTTGAGGAATTTTTTCCCTTTTTTCCAGACTTGGGAACTTAGTCATTTTTCAGCACAATTTATGAAAGAGTGTACAAGTTTTGTGTAATAAACTCAGTCCTCCTACAGTTTCCAATCAGATCACTGAAACTTCACAGGAAAATTGCACATAATATGTTGAAGTTCCGCACCTGCTATTATGGAATTGTTTGAGGATTTGTTTCTCTCATTTTTTCCAGACTTCGTAATTTTTCAGCAAAATTTAGTATAAAATATTGCAACCTGGCCATTTGAAACTTTGACTTATTTTGTTACTGTTTAAGCAGGGATTGATCTTTGAAATTAAGTGTGCACATGTATATTATAAGTTTTCTCTAATGTATATACAATGCATTCAACAATTGAAAATAGTTTGAGGTCAACAAGTTCCTTGTGCACAATACATGATTCAAACACTTTTAAAGGCAGGGATGTTTAAGACTTCAGCACGTGGAGAGCTATATGACCAAAAGGGACATAACAATAACCTTATTTGACTACATGCGTACTTATATACACACACAGTTTTAATACCGAAAAGAGAAATCCGTACGTTACTTTTGAATTAATCGAAACTTTTTTTAAGATGTATTTTCGGGACAAACTAATTTGAAATTCATGTCCCTAGAAAGAACTAACATAAACAAAAATGAAAGTATTATCAAATATACAATATTAACACAGTATTCAAAGTATCATAATTTGGTTCTTATAAAACAAAAATGCAGTTTCAAAAGTATTTCTATCTATATTACATTGATTGGTAACTTCTGAATCGGAGGGTACTTTGCCAATCTCATTTCTGAAAATCAAGATTCTTGTCTAATTCTGTGAAAAAATTTAAAATTGTTGATATAAGCCTAAATTTTCATGTATGTAGGTGGATGAACACCTTTTTCAAATTAAATGTACCCTTAATTTTTAAGTGTTTTCAGAAATATACACTTGACAATCTGATAAAATCGTATAAAAGAAGTTGCCTTATCTTACAGGTTGTATTAATGCACAAACAGTTATAAAGGTAAGTGATCCAATATATAAGCTGATTCTAGGTAAGTGAACCAATGTGTAAGCTTAAGATTGAATATTTAAAAAATGCTATCAACTTATTACACGTAGTTTGGACTAATAATAAATTTCCGACTCTAGTAGAAAAAAACACGGGGTAAGATACTATGAAAAACCGACAAAATGCATTTGATTTGAAATAAAACCTTTAATAGACAAAGCGCCGTTTCACTAATATATTGTTATTGTAGAGTATTTGATGTATATAGTACTAAAGCTACTACTGCTACAAAATTTAAATATGTCAAAAGTTTTTTTTAAACCTTCAAACTTACTTTCACAAAAGTGAGCGACTTAATTAATTATATAATTAAGTTTGAAATTATATGTACTGTCTGATTCCCAATACAATATTTTACATACCACAAAAAGGTATTATTTTGTTAAACTACTATCGATATATATTTTCCAGTAACTTTTATCAATGGTAATATGCTTAAGTATAATTGTACATTTTTTTATTTGTATGTAAGCATATCCAGTAAAAAACTGAGTAATAAGTGTATGAGTACTTTGATTTATAGACTGAAATGACTTCATGGCGTTATTATGTGTCAAAACATTTTTATCCTTGTTTCAGCATTTTTGTTTTTTTTTCAACTGTGGTGCGATAAAAAAATCATTTTAGACAATGCCTTATTCATATTGCTTTAACATGAATTAGTACTATTTATTTTGTATATTTATCTGTAAAAATTTCTTGCTTAAATGCTGTTTTATGTTACAGGCATCGACGTAACCCTTACAATGTTCCAAATAATGGTGACTATATCCTCCGTTTTAATCCTCCCTCTTGTCATGGCTTATGATATGGTATGTATCTTTTTATTATTTATAACTTTAAAACGTTGTAAGCTGGCTAGCTTCATAAAATGTGTTTTATATAGTCTTGAAAGTAAAGTTATGGGAGACAAGTGAAATCAATTTATTACTGTTACTTCACGAAAATGGCACTCTACTTCTAAGCCCCCCTTCCAGACATAAACCCTTCGGACCAAAGCCACCTCCCCCATTTCTAATTACAGTATTTACAAACAAGTAGTTCATACTTTATCCACTAGTAATATTTATGTTTTATTTGTCCCTTTGGTCGCAAAAGAACATGTATTGTGTTGTGCTACTATCATAAGTAGGCGGGGTGGGGGAAGGGTTGTCCTAGATCTGTTCGAAAGCCAAAATGAAGTTGAATTGGACAACAAAAACAGAACTTATAACATTTTTACTCAAATTCAAAGTCATCATAACAGATTTTATAAATAAAGGTTTTGAAAATATAAGGTAGAACTGAAGCTAATTAAAGGAGGATTGAATGAATTTTATTTCTGATGCTATCTTGGGTATACAATCATGGCTGTTTAAAGAAAAAAAAGTGTCATTTCTCAGAGGCAAGCACTTCAGCGAATTGAAATGGTGAATTTAAAAAGGGAATTTGGTATGACAATGGATACAATAACGCCAAAATCCATGTGCATTATGTCAGGACAAACATTTAGTTATAAGAAATGTTTGTGTTTACTTTTGTTGAAATTTTTGTGTTGTTCTTTTCAGACATTTTGTTATCAAATAAACGAGGGGAGGGCACAATTTTTGGAGGCATAGAAACTAATGTGCATTATGTCAGGGCAAACATTTAGTTATTAGAAATGTTTGTGTTTACTATTGTTGAAATTTTTATGTGGGTTGTTCTTTCAGAAATTTGGTTATCAAATAAGCGAAGGGAAGGCACGATTTTTTGAAGACATAGAAACTAATCTAGGGAAAAATATAGTGAAAATCCATACTCCAGCACATAATGATGTTATGGAATCCTACCTGATGCAAGACTTTCAGAAGGTATGTAGCATTAAATGATTCTTATACAGACAAAGTTGTTTTACTAGATTAGTCCCCTCGACCCTTTTGTCCACCCTTGACATAATGATGTTGAAACCCATATTCAAGATGGAACTCACTGTAACACTGTTTTAAAATCATCTTGAATAAAAGCGTTAAATCCTAATCTTAGTTAATCTTTACAAAATAAGCATGCCTTGTAAAGATTAAAAATTTTAAATGTTTTATTCTTAATTACCAAAACTGTATACTTCCTCCTTGAACTGTGTCACTTGAAACATTGAAAAATTGTGTTTTGATTCGTTTATTTTTGTAATTGTAATACATTGTTAAAAGGAAGCTCACCCTGTCGACACAACCGGTCTTGCTCCTTTTGGAGTTCATGCGATTCTAGTTTGTGTTTGTTATCTTCATTTGTTTTCTTAATTTGTCTGTGAGATGTGAACACAGGTAAACTATTGTTGTCTATGTTTAAATACACTAATAGTATTTTTGGTGAGTGTAACCTTTTGTAAGTAACCATTTACATTACTAGTATTCAAGTAATAAATTGTTTCACAGTTATAATAGCTGGTCATTTTTGAACGTGTAGCTCTTTTAAGGAAAGGTATTCACCCGGGCAATTACAATAATTGTTATTCATACTTATATGATACAAAGACATCCTTTCATGCCAGCAATTGATTATTCAGATTTGTTATCAAAACAAACAAAAAAACCAACTGTTTAAGTTCATTTTTGTTTTATTACAGAACAAACAGATTACATGCCTCCCATCACTAAATCAATGTAGAGTCAGGGAGATTGATAGGGAAACCGGTGTGGATGCTGGTAAAATTGCAGAGGCGTTTGTTCACAGCTGGGTATGATAAACGCACACATACACACATTTCCTTCAGCTTGTAAACGATTCATTTTATTAGCAATTATCGTACATTACTTGAAAAAAAGAGAAGAAAAATTACTATGAGACTGCTGCAAATCACAAAAAAGACCATTTACCTTTTTTGCTTGAATTGACCATAATACATCAAGTGTACATTATTTAGTGACAAAAAATGAACGTGTATGAGGGATAAGTAGCTAAACATGGTGCACTGAAGTTCTCTTGTAGTATGGTATATTAAATGATTGAGCTTTTTGTGCCGTTGTAGTGTTAGAAAACTTTTGGGAACAAATTTATTTTTCTTTTAGTGGAATAACTCGAAATTTATATACTAGTATTAATGGTTATTCCCCATAATTTTTTTTTTTTTTTAATGAATAAACAGTGAATGTGACAGGTAGTTTTGAAGTAATGTATATAAAATATTCAAATTTCAGAACAAGGGTAGTAACAGTATATCAAAATCAAAGTCTAAAGAGGTAACAGAGTTGTATTATATTGATGGCGATGAAGTCACTGACACAGTTTCACTTGGAGAAGACTTGAGACAATTTTATATAGGTTTCGGATACCAACTGTATCAGGAAAAGAAAATACCACATGACGCTGAAATGCTTAATATGACCGTCTATACAGGTATATCTTATCGGAAATAAGAGCTCCATCAACTTCTATAGGGTTATGCAGTGTTTTGTTTGTTTCTCCGTTTTTTTAGGGGAGTGAGGGTTTGCTGTTTTTTTTAACTGTTACATATTTTCATGGGAAGCATTTTAAAGGACTAAAAACTTTAAAACTTTATACCTCTCTATTTTGATAACACGGAACCACCTATTATTTTGTAGAAAAAAACCAGCAGAAATTAAATTTTTAATTATACGTCAGTAACATCAGACGTCAGTGTAGTAAATAATACTCCTCTAACTTGAGACTGTGAATTATTGAATTTTAGATATGATCAATATGACCATGTTATTACGGGGGACCTCAATATTGTTCAAGACCCAGAGGTTTAAAAACTTTTTGAAAAAAGGACATTAATATCGTCTCCCATCAAAAATAGATTGGAAACATTGTCGTCAGGTCATAAAAGATGCTCTTTCATCGTATTGTAAAAATTAGTGTAAACAGGACAAATCTGATAAAAAAATCATCTTGATTCTTCTTTAAATAAATGTATGAATGTTGTGGATATTCAAATATCCCATTTTGAAAATAATTTAGAAATAAATAAAAGAGTACATACTACGCCTATCTCTAAATAAGAAACAAACTTCAAGTACTCGCAAAGCGGTTTGTATTTGTACCGGCCGATAAAGCAGACAACAATATAGTGGTGGTAAGACGTAAATCCTACACGGAAGTTCTTAAGAATGAAATTATAAATTTTTCTACATTAAGGTCCGTGCGCTCCACAGATAGTCAAATAGTAAACAACCATATCACAACACCATCATAGATTAAGGCATCTTCTGAACATTTGAATGTATTGGTTACCTAAACTACACAAAAAACACGTAACATACAGTTTTATCTCGGCCTCTATTAAGTGTTCTATAACTAATCGTTGAGTGCTTTTAACTAGTTCCTTAACTACTATCAAAGAACTTAACATAAACCTTTGTAATAAAACATATGAAAATAGTGGAATAATTATTTTTGGAGTGTAAAAAATTCACTAAAAGCCTTCTGCTCTAATAAGAAAGGTAAATATGGTAAAAATACTTACTGGAGGTGTGATAAGATGATTAAAGCTGTTAATTTTCTCCTTGACAACATTTATGTACGATTCGGCAATAAAGTTTATCGACAGGTTGTAGGTATTCCTATGGGCACCAATTGCGCCCATTTCATAGCAGACTTGTTCTTGTACTGTTATGAATCACAGTTTATGGCCAATCTCAGTAAAGACCCGTCTAAATTGCATTTAATTGATCAATTCAAAAACACTTACCGTTATCTTGATGATATTTTTACGTTAAATAATCAAGAATCCTCTAAATATACTGCCGAAATTTACACAAAAGGAACTTATCTTAAATAAAGCAAATATAAGCGGTTATAACTGTCTTTTCCTAGATTTAGATATTTCAATTTTACACGGAAAACTCGACACAAAAATTTACAACAAAAGGAACGATTTTTCGTTCCCTATTATTAATTTTCCTTTTTTGGACACCATCTTACGGTGTTTATACATCACAACTCATTCGCTATACCCGTGTTTGTAGTGACGTTTTTGATTTCAATCAACGTAATCTACTAGTATGTATTACTGGTAAATTATTAAGTCAGGGATTTCATATTCCATAGATAAAAGATTTGGTTTGGAAGTTTGGCTGTCCCTGTAAAAAAACTTGTTTCAAACGGGATAGCACATCCTAAATTTTACGGAGATGTTGTTTACCGAGCCCGCAAATTTAGACACGATAAGGGTAAACTTATCAATCCTTTTAATAAACTTATTCTGAAAAGTTACCAATTTGGTATAAATATTGATTTTGTGGTCAGTAAATTAAAACCAAACTAAATAGCATGATACATACATATGCACCTTCACGGTTCGACAATCTGTCGATACATGTAGTTTGGCATTGCACATGGTTATGTTTTTCTTTGACTGTTAATGACGTCTTCACACTAAATCCATTGGGTGTTTCAGACTTAGATACATGATTTCTTTACTATTTGTTATTGGCTTTGAAGTAGCTGTCAGTAACTGTAAGTACTCTCAGATCTGTACTTAGTGTCTTTTTTGTAGTGGTGATGTATAAATACCCTGTCACGTCCGGTCTGTATTTTTTAGTTGTTTTTGTGCTGTGTATCGATCTGATGAGTTAAGCCTTTTTCAACTGATTTGTATTATTTGTTCGTACGTTGTACTATTACACCACTGTCCCAAGATAGGGGAGGGTTTGGCACGCCAGCAAACATATTTTACCCCGCCACATTATGTATGTTCCTGTCCAAAGTTAGGAGCCTGTAAGTCAGTGGTTGTCGTTTGTTGCTGTATAACATATTTGTTTTTTCGTTCTTTTTTTTGTGTACATAAATCAGGCCGTGAGTTTTCTCGTTTGGATAGTTTTACGTTTGTCATTTCGGGGGCCTTTTATAGCTTACTATTTGGTATGGGTTTTGCTTATTGTTTAAGGCCGTACGGTGGCCTATAGTTGTTAACCTCTATGTCATTTGGTCTCTGGTGGAGAGTTCTCTCATTGGCAATCATACCACATCTTCTTATTTTTATATCAACAAAGATACAAAGACAATAATGCTTATTTGTGTAACCATTCCAGTTCGTTCGTCTCATTATAGATTACATGATTCCTACACTAATTTTTCTGATAGTTTAAACTGACATCTTTTTCCTTTTGTACAATATGTGTACTGCAAATGTGCGTCTATTCACGTCTTTAAGTCTCTGGTGGATATATGTTCCATTGGCAATCATACCAAATGTCCGTATTTTTGTTAAGAATAAAAGAACAGCGTTCCAATGTCTTCCGCCGATGCACATATTTTATGTATTTACGGACAATAACTCTAAATGTTTTAATGTTTTCATTAAAAATCTTACAAGAAATGTATGCGTTAGCCGTTTAAAACGGTAACTTTCGCATGATTTTTATTTGAAATCGACAACATTCCTCTTAAGATAGCTGATCCGCACCGATTTTCCAAAATATAAGTGATAAACCTTTGATATAAAGTTCATAAAAATCTGACCGAGAAATGTAGGTTGAAGTGAGCTGACAATACGTTCCATATTATTTATATATCCAAGGGACATAATTCATTCAAAAACATTTGAATGGCACGTATTTTCGTACTCTTGCTAGACATTGCTGATATAATAAACCGCATATATATAAATATCATAAAAATCTGGCCAAAATTGTAAGCCTGAAAAAGCTTACAATACCGGACGGACTAATGCACAGACATTCGAGGAGCAATTCATATCAATATAGTTTATCGGCCCTGAATTTCAAATTGTCTAAGACATTGCTGATATAAACCTTTGATATAAATTTCATAAAATCTGGCAAGAATTGTAAGCGGCAGCGCGAACGGACAGACGCACATACATCATTTAAATAAGTTGGTCACAATGCTTTATAACCTCATACATTGCTGGAAGAAACCGTTGATACAAATTTATTATTTTTTTTATTAAGAACTGTACGCGACCGAACAGACAGATGCCCGGTATTCATATATCCATCCCACCATGTTGTGGCGGGGGGATAATAATAATACAGTTAAAATGTGCATAATTTCATATTTCTACCAATGTTTATGGCTAAACGTAATTGTGTTATACAAACAGTGTTGCTGTCTGTTTTTTTTTTTTTAGTTCTATGATATACAATATTCATGCGAAATATTAAAAAAAGAGAAATAACACCTAATATGTTTTATGCGTCAGAAGGCGCTTTTCTTGATTGACCCTCATCAGGAACGCTCAAAGCTAAATATGTGAAAGCCAAGAATGTATAAGTACCGAAACACGTGAATAGCTATATGACCCTAAGGGACTCACAAATAGCCAAGTTCATCTAAGGTCAACAATGCCGGATAGTTTCTTGATGATTTCTTAATTTATACAAGGAAAATTTAGGAAAGGTATGTCATAAATCATGTCAGTACCGACTACTGAGCTGATGATACACTGGGAAACTAATGGTCTATTATCTTAATTGTACTCTTACTTTCAGGAAGGCGTATCAAAAGAGGGGGAAGACAAGATTACCCAGTTACTTGTAATTCAGTTAAAACAGTTTATGGAATTGATTCAGGAAAACAATGCAATTATCTAAAACTATGTGAAAAGTAAGATATACTATAAGTTAAGATTTCTTATTTAACGTTTTCCTCTAAATTTATTTTTAAATTCATCATGATTGGTAGGTAATATTTTCTAGATAATTTATAGCAGCATCGTCCCATTCACAACGCATTTCATTATTTTTTTAAAATTCACACACATATATAACAGCGTTATTTGTCTTAGTTCTAATGTTGAATATTCCTATTTGAAACCAAATTAGCATCCGTTCTCAAATTTTATAGTTGTTTGGTTTTACAAATCCTACTGTAGAGTGTCCTAAAGTCTGTTTTAGATGCACAAATTCAAACGTCCAGAAGCATTTGGACTGTAATTCTAAGAAATATAAAGATGAACTTTTTTTCTTTCGTTCCAAGTCGGACTATGACAGTTACAATAAAGATAGTTCAAAGAAGATTGACCAAAAAATAGCCAGTATTTATGTTCACTTATTTCATGAATGTTACTTGAAATAATATATAATTCGTAATCCCTATTTACTTTTGTGAGTAACAAGATGCATCACCAACCTACGGATAGTTTGTTAAGGATTAAAGCAATATTCCAAAAAATCTACTGGGCAGTACTGACTTTTCCGCTGTAGAATTATCTAACAATTTAGGAAATGCGTATGTTGACATTACTTGCAAGTATTTCTGATAAAAGGTAAAAAAGTGTAGACCAAGATGGCCTGTTCATTTAGATGTTTAAGTAGTGATATGAAAGACTTATTTTGCGTCGTCAAAAATAAAACGATATTTATCGATTGAATAACATGTATTTCTTTTATAGAGCGGTTGGGAAAAGAGGAGAGGAAAGATTTGTCGATTG